GCCTCTAGCAGCCTGCTGCAAATGCGAGGAGTCCCCATGGTTCCACCTGGTCTTTCAAAGATCACTCTGCCCTCCTACCCCAGCCCTTTACCTTAGCGAGATGCCTAAGCCACAGTACAGGGTGGGAGGGGCAGAGAGAAGCAGAGGGTGTCCCGCTGTCCCACCCTAAACCCCACCACGGTTCTGTGACCCGGGGCACTGTGCACAGCTGCAATCCAGTGTCTGCATCGAGCAGACCTCTGGGACAGGAGCAGAGTCGTAGGTGGGAGGGAAATAGACAAAGGCTGCCAGGCAGGTAGAGAGAGCAGGTTTGTGCCTGTACTGGCCACACTGAGTCCCCAGCACAGAGTAGGCCCTCAGTGAAGATCTATGGATTGCATGAAAGATGGCGATGGGCACTGGAAATAGAGAAGACATTTGAGTCAACCAGGCGCTGTGGAACTGGGAGAGAAGTTGATGAGCAAAGCAGATGAGCAGGTGGAAGGGGTGTGAGCTGAGTCCCAAAGGGTGGGTAGAAGCAGCGAGGTTCACTCCATGCCAGCGATGGATAAATAGGATCGTTCAACCCTACCCCCACCCTCATTATCCCCTTCGATAGGTGAGAAAACAGAGGCACAGAGCCAGGGAGCGCCAGAGCTGGGATTTGAATCCAGGACTAGCAAAGTAGAGATTCTGGCTCCTTTCCATGATGAGATTCTGTCTGTCTGCAGCTGTTGGGGTAGCTCAGTAACAGTAAAGAGGAAGGAAGAGGTCAAGAGAGGAGGAATGCATGCCCTTCAGTCTACCCCAGAGGGAGGAAAAGTGCTCTGACTAGCAGAGCTGCCCGGCAAGAACTGAGGCCATGTGGAAGGGCCCTAGAAATGAATGACAGAGTTGATGATCTTTGCAGGGGACTTGCGCAGAGGGAAGCAAAGAACCTGGGAAATTGCAGCATTCTTCACCAAATGGATGGGTAAACAAATTGTGGCGTAACGGACAGTGGAATATTACTCAGCCCCAAAAAGGAGGTACTGACACACGCTACAACATGGATAGGTCTTGAAGACATTATGCTAAGTGAATGAAGCCAGAAACCAAAGGCCATGTGTTGTAGGATTTCGTGTATGTGAAATGTCTGGAAGAGGGAAATCCATGGAGACAGAAAGCAGACTGGTGGTTGCCAAGGGCTGGGGCTGGGCTGTGGGGTAGAGGGATGGGGGGTGACTGCCTAATGGGTATAGGTTTTCTTTCAGAATGTGACAGAGGTCTTGGCTGCACAACACTGTGAATGTACTAAACTGCTACTGAAGCCCTGGCCGGTTGGGCTCAGTGGCCCGTGGACCTAAGGGTCTCGGGTTTGATTTCAGTCAAGGGCACATACCTTGATTGCAGTTCAGTCCTGGGTCCTGTGGGAGGCGACCAATCGGTGCCTCTCTCTCTGTCTCTCTCCCTCCCACTCTATCTGAAGATAAATGGAAACATATCCTCAGGTGAGGATTAAAAATAATAATAAAGTAAAATAAATAAGTTGCCACTGAATTCATTGCTCACTTTAAGATGGTTAATTTTATGCTATGTGAATTCCACCTCAATTTTTAAAAATGGAGCAGGGATGCTCAGAATACAAGCTTCAAAAACATAAATAATGTGATCACGAGCTACGAACACCGGCCCCTGAAGCAGCCGTGGCTGGGGTCTCCCAATGTGTACCCTCAAGATCCCAAACAGAAGGAGGTGCGTTCGCCACCCCAGGTGTTCTTGGGGCCAGGGGCCAGCGGGCAGCACCAGCAGAAGCACAGAGGGTCTGGGGAAGGGGGGCGGGGTGGGCTGATGGGAGCCAAAGTCCCGAAAGGGGGAAGAGTAAAGTGGGTGCCCGAGGGTGGGACCTGGAGGGCAGGGGTCAGTTCCTGGGTGTGACTAGGGAACGACGGAGGGGCCACGCCAGAGCCCCCCCCACACACACAGAAATCGTCAGGCAGCTTGTGAGGGAAGAGTGGTAAAAAAAAAAAATACCAAAAAAAAAAAACCCATAAAAAATGTGTCTTATCTGCAGCACCTAGAAAAATATAGTTAATAGTCACGCAACAACTATTATTAATGAATAAAAGAATAAATGTGATTTCCTGTTAACTGGTACTGAATGAGTGAATAATGATGACAACTACCACTTAGTGAGCATTGTTCCAACTGCTTACGCAAATAACTCACCGTGACTCCTGGAGGAAAGGGCTAATAGCACCCCCATTTTACAGATAAGGAAACTGAGGCTCGACAAGGTTGATTTTTCTGAGATCGATGAGTTCAGAAAAGGGGAGGCCCAGATTCAATCCCAGAGCACCTGCAGTCTGAACCATCACACCAGACAGAGAAGCACTTCCCAGGGGCTGGCTGCCTCCAAAACGCTAAGTGCTACAGGGGCCAAGGGTCTGGACTATAGGCAGAGTGGCCGAGCATTGGAAGATGGCTTCAGAGCCAAGCAGAGCCGAGTGCGCATCCTGGCTCTGCCACATACTGTGAGCTTAAGAAAGTGATCAAACTTCCCGGAGTCTCAGTTTCTCCATCTGTAAAATGGGGGCAGACATAGTATCCAAAGCTGCTGCAAGGACTCTGTTCTATCAAATGCCAGCCTCGTGAGGGGTGCCTGATAAGCATGGTTCTTTCATCCCCTTGGAAATGAGCTCCCCTAAGAAACCCAGCAAGGTCCCAATACTTCAAGCGGTGCTTAGGCACTTGGCTTGGTCTTTTCTGTCTATACTGCCTCCTCCTTCCTCCATTTTAATTTGCAATTTCAGGCACAGACCTTTCACTCCAAGGGATGTTGCTATGAGAAGTTAGAAGGAAAAGGAAAAGAAAGACTGTTTTCTCCGGCTGTCTTCTAACTCTCCGACCTAGCGTTAACACTTCTCTGGAGTCAGATGGAGGGGTTCTGTGGAACAGAGCCCTGGGTGTTTTGTCCCCACAGGTGGCATTTATTCATCTGAACAGATGGTGCCAAGGCCCCTCGGGACTGCTTGGGCCCCAAGCCTCGCTGCACCGCCTGCCCCCCAGAAGCAGCCTGCCGGCATGACCAGCATCCCCAGCCAGTCCTCTGAATCACCGCTTTCAGACTGACATCCCTGAGGGCAGAAATAAAACACCAGGCATGTGTGTCAGGGAGAGAACATCACCTTTTAATGTAAATGTAAGGACGTGATCTTGAACGAACAAAGTCAGCTTCGTCCTCAGCATCCTGGCTTTCTAAATTATTATTAGTGTTGGAACAGGGAAATAGACACACTCATTTTGAGGGCCACGCCTCCCAGACTCCCCCAGGCAGCACACAGAGAGGCGGTTTCACAAGGTGACACCCCTCTTACCCCAGAAGTAGAAATGGCAGCCTGGTTGGTGCGCTCAGGCGTGGGGCCGCCTGGTGCTGCGCCCTCTCGCCCACCTCTGATTTGATTTTCCGAGTTTCCATTAAACAAGCTCGGGTGCGTACCCTGAGTAATTTTCAAAGCAGTACGCTTCGAAAAGACCTTGGCCCTCTGCACAGTCTTAATTCTAGCTCCCTGGCAATCCCTAAGAGGAACAGGCTGGTGGAAATCCAGGGGTCCCTCCTCAGCTACTGGGATCAAGGGCATCCTCCAGGAATGGGGGACAAAGGCCATTTATTTTATCCTAATCTTTTTACTGCAGTGTCCATGTGTAAATATTTCTGTGAACGAGCAGGGTCTTCAATCTCGTGACATCGTGCTGAAGAAAGAAAGCATGCCTACGATGGGAGCTATAGTCCTCCGTGGGGAGAAAAAGCCATTTGAAAGTCGAACATGAGGTTAGGACTAAACGTGTATAAGTTGAATAAGATACATTTTATTAGACAAATAATTATTGAGCATCTGTTCTGTGAGAGGAACCAGCTGGTTCTCCATCTAAGTCCTTTCTATCTGGAAAGTTCTCTCCCCCTACCATACCGCCCTGGAATATATCTTTAAGGGAAGGGAACTCACATGGACTGACAGTGGTTGTGGGTCATTTACAGGGTGGACTGTTTTATGTATGCGTTTCCTTTAAGGACTCCCTCCATGTACTATAATGTAAGCTCTATAAGTTGGGGTAATGGTGAGCTATGAAGGAATATAGAGCCAGGCAGGAGAAGCATTATAAATTAGGAAACAACCCAGGTCTCAGTTTAAAGCTCTCCAATACCCTTCCCAACAAAATGTTAGATTCTTATCTCGTTTCTCACACCATCTGACCCCCTGAGGGGCTTGGGCTCCCCATAGCTCCTGGAAAGAGAGTGCAGGAGTAGGCAAGAAACATGTTTGCTCTGGCCTCCTGGGGCGGAGTCGCTTAGAAGTTAGCGCATCTCTCAGTTGCCCGTTCAGTAGGACTGATCGAGAAACTCTGGAGTGAAGTAAGCAGCAGGAAAACGGAGGGCAGAGCATCTCTGCCACCACCGGCATGTTTACTCTGTAACTTTGAGGAAGCTAAATGCCCTCCCTGCGCCCCTGTTTCCTCGTCTGGAAATGGAGTTGGGATACCCACTGCGTGATGGCTCAAGAAGTCAGGGGTTTCTGGCCTGGCACAGTGCATGGCACAGAACAGCTGCTCAGTCAGCCCATGACGAGCGCCTTGAATGTGTAGGACTCCATAGAAATGGTACCCATTTTATGGAGGAGGAAACTGAGACTCGGAGAAATGAAGCAGTTGGTGGTCACAGAGCCAGGAGCCATGAGGCTGGACCTGCCAGACCCACTAAGAGCAGAGGTGTCCTCATCAATGTCTGGGGTTCACTCCAGAGGAAGGGCCACCGCATGACTTTCACGGGCCCACGGTACTCTGGCCTTTGTGGGCCTCTTCCCCAAAAAAAACTACATAAAAGATTCTCTTTTATAACTGCGTGGGTCTAAAATTGAACATAATCAATGTTGGATAATATTCTTTTCTTTCAAAGACATTATATGTTTTCATGAGCCCTAAGTCCCGTGGGCCCTGGGCACTGTGCCCGATGGAGAGGTAGACCCTGGTCAGAAGTCACCTACCTTGTCGTCCTCAGCCCTCATGTCGGGCATGGTGCTGACACACAGGCTGACCGCTGTGGTGGCTACGAAGAGGATGGACAGACAAGCGAAGACCTTCCCAGGCAGCCCCGACTGTGGGTTCTCCACCACCTCCCGCAGCCAGTTCATGAAGAGCCCCCAGCGCGAGGGGTCCGCCGCGGGGCCCCGCGCCTCCCTCTGCCGCTGCAGGTCCTCCTCCCTGCGCAGCTCGGCCAGCTCCTCCAGCTTCTTCAGCAGCTTCCGCAGGCAGCATTTCTCCAGGTTGGCTTCTTCGATCCCCCAGTAGGTCAGCTCCTCCTGGAAGGACAGCACGCACATCTCCCGCAGGAGGGCCAGCTTGCCGGCCGCCAGGAAGCTCACGATCATCCCGAAGGCGCTGGGGCTCCTGTCGAAGAAGAACTCCTGGCTGTCCTCGTCGTAGTCGTCACAGAGCTGCGCGATCTCCTCCTGGTTCCGGCAGAACTTGAGCTTGCTCAGGCGGCTCAGGGGAAACTCATCCAGCGTGCTCCAGGGGAGAACGTACCTCCTGCCCCCGACATTCACCAGGACCTCTTTCTTCAGGTCTGCCGTCGGGGAGGCATCCAGCGCGCCCACCTTCCGGGCCCTGCGGTAGTAGAGGCCCTTGAGGGACGGTGGTGGCTCCGCGGAGCCAGGCAAGAGCTGACTCAAAGGGCTGCAGGAGCTGGAGTGGTGGTGTCGGGGATGCAGGCCCCTGACTCTGGAAGCGATGGGCATCGCCGTAGATGTCCTGGCACCCAGAGGGGAAAGAGCAGGAACGCGGGAGAAATCAGTCTCGGGGCAGAGTCTCAGATGTTACAGACATTTTCTCATGTGCGCTTGCCCGCAACTGTATCTGCATTATTCATTCTTTTTAATCTTTCATCCAACACAGCTTCACTGGGCACCCACTATGCACCTGGGATCTGTCAGTGAACAAAAGGAGACAATGCCATCCCTTCCTGGTGAAGCACATACGCTCGGAAGAATCTCCCCGGAATAGACATCATGTGGACTGGGACTTGGGGAGCTGGATCCTGAACTGGACAAGTCACAACTGTGCCTCTTCAGGCTGTGTGGTCTGGGGCATGTACCTTAGCCTCTTTGATCTCTGCATTGTTCATTTCATGACAAAACTTGTACGAACCTTGCAAGGTATAGTGGGTTCAAATAGAGCTTAAGGTTCTCAAGTTCACTGCCAGGTTCTGCCCCCTTATGGACTGCTCAGCCACTCTAAGCCTTTTGCTTCATCTATACAGCTGGGGGAGTTTGAGTGCCCACTTCATGGTGCACAATGAGAGTTACACGCAGTAATATACAGGGAGAACACTTCTAGATGCTTCTGACCAGCCAGGCACCTTGTACACACTTCCCTATATTAATTCATCTCAACAACCCCATGAGGTACATATTAATATTTCCATTTTACAGATGAGGAAACAGAGGTGCAGAAGGTTAAGTAAGGAAGAATGTGACCATGGTTAACATGGCACCTGATTCTCAGGAGAAGCTCCACAATGGTCACCTTGTCCCTCTTGTTTGCTTTCTCAATGGGAGGACTTTAGTCTCCATGACAGCACTCCTCCGTGTTCATTGGGTGCTGTCTCAGCCCCTCTTGCTGTGTGACCTTGAGCTAGTCACTCCCCTTCTCTGGGCCTCGGTCTTGTCATCTGCAAAATGAGGGAGCATCTAATGCTCTCTTCATTTCAGACCTATTTGGGACGCTGGATTTAGAATAGAGTTTTAGATTTAGCCCGTGCCTTTGAAAAATCACCTCCACAATACTTATCCTCAGCATCCTGCAAAGATTTCCTATGCTATTCTTTGTAGCCAGAGCTGTTTCCAGAGCATCTATAACCTTACATTCCAAGGTGCACTCCAATCAAGAGAAACACTCGGCCGCTGAATGGAAGTAAAAGTTCCTCTAATTTCCGAGCCAGTTGGATTCAGGCAGACAGCGAAGAGTTGAATCACAGCCTACGCATTTCACACTTGCTCGGGTTATTATAACCACGCAGCATTAGGTTATTCTGCACGTATTACTTCGTTTACAACGTACGGCCAGAGGAAGACGAGCAGCCTGCAGAGAGAAGAGTGTTCTGAAATCCAGGGAGCCCTTCCCATGCGTTTTCATTTTCCAGTTGCAAAAACCAAGACCCAGAGAGCTGAAATGACTCATCCAAGGTCACACAACAAATCCAAACCCAACCCAGGACTCTGTCTCCCAACCTGGGATTCTTCTTAGAACCCTCAAAACTGCACTTTTTGCATTCACTGCACAACCCCAACTTTGCAATCCACTGTCTCCCGAAACAGCCGGCACACAGAGCTCCTTCCAGAGCATGGGAAAAGTGGTCACTCGAAACAGCACTTTGGCCACCGATGTTTCAATGTCCCCACCCCTCCAGCAAACAATGACTTCTTCCCCCGAAGTTTAACTCACCCTTCTGTCTCAGGGAGCCTGTTTCCAGCTGTTTCTCTGCCTGGCAAGGGGAGCCCATGTCTCGATGTCCCGGGAAGAGATGGGTTCGTGGTGGAAATAAAGGGAAAGAAAAGAAAATTCCAAACACGGCAGTTTCTGGCAGAGTTAGTGTCCAACCTTTCTTCCCTCGTCTCCTCCAGAAACCCGAAGTCCATTCATTCAGCATCTCTCTCTCCAGCAGCTGGAGAACTGCCCTGGGGCAGAGAGGTGGTGATTTTAAGAGGACCCAGAGACCCCTTTTCCCACAAGAGGTAAAAGTCTGAGGGGTTCATGCTATGAAGGAGCTGGTCCAGCTGTCCTGCTTCAGCCGCGGGCTCTGCGCTCTGCACCCCACCGGACAGCCAGTGTGGTCCTGCAAGGGGCGGGGGGTGGGGAATGGGAAGGGCTTAGGAATAATCTCTCCATCAGCCAGGCAGCAGGCTGGAGCAGCAGCAGCCGCTCCTCTGCCAACCGCCTGGAAAGCAAGGAGAGCTGTCCTCCCCTCCCCTCCTAGGAGGAGCATAACTCAGAAGGAGCAGAGAAGAACCTGGGGCCAGGGCATCTGCAGCTACCTGTCCTTGGCCACCTGGAGGCTCCTTGGGGTATGCTGATGATAAGCAGGTACTCAGCTAGAGGCTGCAGGAGGAACTTTTTGCTGCTTTGAAGCAGCCCAGGTCTGGGACATGTTCAGAGAAGCCCAGCCTCCCACCTCTGGGTAGGAGTTCTGGAGGATGTGTGATGGCCCGGGAAGAAGTGTGAGCCTGGAATCACATATACCTGTATTCCCAGCTCCAGTGTGAGTGGCTGGGTGACCTTGGGCAGGTGGCTTAGTACCTCTGAGCCTTATCTTTCTTGTTTATAAAAAAATATGAGCATGAAAGGGGTTTTGGGTGGGTCACAGCAGAAGCCACAGAGCAGGCCCCACCTGTGGTTTTGGCTCATGTGGTCGTGGAGAGGACGAAGAGGCACAATTTCTAGGGTCAGAGTCCCAGCCTCAGTCCTTGGTCAGTCACTTCACCTTTCTGGGCCTCCGCTTGCTCACTGTCAAGTGAGGACAGTCAAAGAAGTGATTGATGAAATTACAAAACCATCTTCTCATGTAGGTGCTCAATGTACATCGGCTCTTCTTAATTTTCTTAAGAGGTTCTGAGGCTCAGTGTCTTGGCTTCCAAAGGTGAGTTATCATTATCAGCTTTGCTCTGCAGATGAGGTCCAGAGGCCTGGGGAAGAGGCTTGCTCAATCAAGGTCACCTTGCTGGTTGGAATCTGCACTTAAAGAGCCTTTCCTGATTCAAGAATCCAGGAGTGAGGAAGGTCTGAGCCTGAGCCTTCCACAGCCTCCTGGAGTGGACAGAAGGAGCTGCTGGCCACGGGCTCTCTGTGACCGGGGCCATGGGAACCAATCCGCACAGGCTCAGAGAAGCTGATTGAATGGAGGTGGTCCTGGGCAGTGGTTTTCAAAGAGTACTGCTCGAAACCCGAGGGTTCTGCAGAAATGATGGAAGGACCGGAATGGGCGATGACAAAGGGAGGACGCAGGGAGGAGACTGCCGGCCTCACGGTGTCAGCTCCGCTCTGATCAGTTTCCCACACTAAGTCTTTAGGTATAACCCCAACACAGGCTATGGCCCACAGGCCCAGTCTCCCCACTTGGCCCACTCACAGAGACCCCAGGGCGCTGTTAGGGGTGGAGCTGCTCCTCCCCCTTCCCCTGACTCGCCAGTTTTCTCAGACTCCACAGCTGCTGTAACACCTCTCATTGACCAGACTCCAAAATGATCTTTCCAGCTCAGACTGGTTTTTCCCTCCTCCTTTCTCTCTGTCCTCCCACATGTCTCGGGTTTTTATTATTTACCTGGACTTAACCTCTGGCTAAATCTCCCCCAACTTACCCCCCCTCCCCCACCTCCCAATTCTCTTTGGAACTAGGATGCATGGGCTCAAATCAAGAATTTACGACTTCCCTGCTGGGTGAACTTCAGCAAGTTTCTTAACCTCTCTGTGCCTCAGTTCCCTCAGATGTGAAATGAAAATGATAGAATGTCCCTCTTGATTTGTTATGAGTACTGAACAAATACATTTATATTTATAAGGTGCTTAGAAGAGTGTCTGGGATGAAGCAAGTTCCAATGAATCACTTGCTATTATTATGAATATTATGTTGACAAATTCAAGTCACACAAGAAAGATTTTGTTTGAAGACAGAAGTCTGCTGTGCTTTTTTGTTTTGTTTTCTTTTGTTTGTGTTTTATAGTATTATTTTATTTTAATTAATTAATTAATTTTTGTTACAGATGTTTCTCCTTTCTCCCCCACTGATTCCCCCCCTCTCCCTCCCCACCCTGTCCCCAGCTTTGTTGTCCATGTCCATTGTTCATGCATACATGCATATAAGTTCTGTGGTTTATCTCTCCCCCACCACCCACTCTACTGGGGGTTGTCAGTCTGTACCCCACTTCCACGTCTCTGGGACTGCCCCATTCCTCAGACTGTTATGTTCATTATATTGCACAAATAAGTGAGATCATGTGATATTTGTCTTTCTCTGTTTGGCTTGTTTCACTTAGGATAATACTTTCCAGGGCCCTCCATGTCATCTCAAAGGACAAGAGATCTTTCTTTCTTACCACTGCATAGTACTCCATTGTGTATGTGTACCACTGCTTTTTTATCCATTCGTCAACTGATGGACATTTGGGCTGTTTCCAGATCTTAGCTATTGTAAATAGTGCTGCTATGAACATGGGGTATTTTAAAGGAAAGTTGAGAGGCATTGATCTAGTACAAGCTCCTGACAGCTCATAGAGAAACTGAGACCCAGAGAAGGGGGAGAATTTTCTGAGCTCCCATGGCCAGTCAATGGCAGGGCCAGGCTCCGTTAGGACACACAGTCCAGTGATCTTTCCACAGCACCAATGCCTTCTATCAGCACTGTCCCTTGGCCCCAGCTATAGGACCTTTGACTTTAGCCTGGTGTCCACACCCATCAGCCCCTGACCCAAGCATTCACTGAATCCTTCCACAGGGCTTGGTAAAGTTCTGGTCACCTTTTAGCTTAAGGCCACTGCCTGCCTGTGTTCCTCCCATCTGTGTGCACTTGACCTCAGCTCACCAGGGAAAGGAGCCCAGGCCCTTTCCAGCATCCTGGGAGTCTGGGATACAGGACAGCCCATGCCAGTCCATCCTTGCTCTCTTCTGAAGGACTGCTGCCTGCCATGCATTTCTGATAAAGGGCTGGGCCACGGTGACCATGTATGAGTTCCTATGGCTGGGCTGTTGTAAC